TTAACTGTCTAAAGCGTCATCCTGAAAATTTAACCCTCATTATATAAAGATATTGGTTTGTACTTATCACAGCCCCCAATTTCAGAATCTCATCTCAACATACCTTGAGATAATCTGGTTTTCCAGAAGTCTTGCTTAACACCTCCTGAGCTGGATGTATTCATTCCAACAAGGCAGTCCCAAGAACACCAGGCCATAGGATTGCCAGGTCCCCCCTGGCCACTGGTGGGGGATGAGGGGGTAGGGTTGCCAGATCCAGGTTCAGAAACTCCTGGAGATTTGGAATGGCATCTGGGGAGGACAGGGACCTCAGTTGGATACCATGCCATAGAGTCCACCCTTCAAAACATCCATTTTCTCCAGGAGAACTGATCTTTGTAGTCTGGAGAAAAGCTATAATTCTGGGGGATCCCCAGGTCCCACCTGGAGGTTGGCATCCTTACCAGGCCAAGCACAAAAACCCACATGTGGGGACCCTCAGGGCAGAAGAGGGGCTGAGTTCCTTTCCACACAAGAGACCCAGGCAGGACAGAGCCATTCCCTTCAGAGCTCCCTGAAGTAGGAAGGAGGTGCTCCCTGGACAGGTGGGGGCAAAATATTCCCCTCACCCCATTCAGGCTGCCAGGCTCGCCACCCCACTGCAAAAGCACCAGAGCTAGATGAGGTTGTCCGACTCCCCTGCGTGGAAACACTAAATGCCCCACAAACCTGGTTCCGCAAGTCCCCGGCCCTTCATTCTTGCCACTGAGGGGCCTGCAGTACCACCACCACCCTGATGGTGCTGGTAATGGGAGGCCCATGGAGGAGGGCTAGTCCCATTGCTGGCCCAAGGCAGGGCAAAAGGCACACATGTGTCATCGCCTCTGGAGCATGGCCTGGGGTTTCATGTGCATGAATGGCTCACCTGCTGCTCTTTTGCAGGTGGGCTGAGCACAGGATCACATAGGCGGGGGCGGGAGGAAGGCGGCAGGTAGCTCAGCCAGGTAGACAGTAGCAGGGCAGGGCAGCAGGCCAATGGTGCAGACCAGATGCAGGGTGGGCCAGGCTGTGGGTGGGCGCAGGCCTGGGCCACAGCAGGCTGGCTCATGCTTGGCCAGCAGCAATGTCAAAGCAGCTCTTGGGCAGCAGCAGCAGTGCCTTGGCAGGGGCAGCTCCCAGCTCATGCCACCCAGCCAGCACAGCCAGACACAGGCTCTACAGCATCCTTGCACTGCCGTTGGAAAGAGGGCTGCTGGGCACAGGTGCCAGCACCACCCTGTAGAGGGCCCACGGGTGCTGACTAAGCAGGAGAGGATGGGGCCACCCCAGGCCCAATGGTGGGGACAGGGCAAATTCTGGGTGGGGTATCACCCTTGTTCAGTCTCCCCATGGCTACGAGCCTGACTTAGAAGGGTGCAACTCTCCTTAGGATTGCACTATTACAATGTCATCCTAAGCAGAGTAAACCCTTCTAAATTCATTGATGTGAATCTGTACAACTCTGCTTAGAATAGCACTATAAGACACAGAAGAGCAAAAGAGACAAAAGACACAAGATCCTACGAAGTTTTAATTGAAATAATTTCTCACTGTAGTAGGAAGAAGGCACTAGTACACAAACCATTGATCAAGTTTTATGAACTGAACCATTTCTAAGAATACATAGTTGTAGCTAAAGAAAGTGGAATGGAAGATAGTGGGTTGGATCCAGTTAACAAAAACCAGTAAACATTAAATAATACTTGGGTCACCTGCACAAAAGAGACAGGTCATATTGAGTGACCCCTCAAAGACAAGTATATCCCTTTAAAGGTATTTCTAAAGTGCTCTCCATCTTCTTGTTAGAAGACAGGAGGGTCGGTGCCTTTCTCATGACCTCTGGTATGTTGCTCCAGAGTATAGGGGCAGTGACTGAGAAAGTCCAAACTCAGACAGCCACAGTTTTTAATTCCTTACAGGAGGTAACACACAACAGACCTTGCTGCAAAGATTGTCACACAGGCTTGTACAAGGAAAGATGCTTCTAGAGATATGAGTCCAGTCTGTAAGACACTTTATAGATCACAACCAGAACCTTAAACAGAAGCTGGAAACAATGCAGCAACCAATGTAAGTCCTCCAGCAAGTGCATTACATGCCCAAAGAATCTAACCTCAAGAGTAATTGGGTGGCCACATTCTAAACCAAATGCAATTTCTGCATTGTCCTTAATGGCAGCCATGCATAGGGACAAACTAGACGTGCTGTTCCTCAGATCCAGATCTGTTTCACAAGGTGAAGGAAGCTGCAGAATCTCTCCTTATATATAATTGTATTTTGGTGGTGGCACTTTGCAGCTCTCCCATTGGTTGTGGAATGCGCTACCTCAGCCATTGGCCCATCAGCTGCCACTCAAGAGTACTCGCGTGCCATTGGCTGGGTACTGGGTCTACTCCTCTTCTCCGCCCACTCCCCCTTCACCCCCTTTAGCATTGTCCTGACTTGGATAGCCCAAGCTAGCCCAATTTCATCAGACCTCAGAAGCTAAATGGGTCAACCCTGGTCCTCCCTCTCCCTCCTCCTCTTCTTCTGATTATTATTGTTAAAATGCCCTTTGTTTGTGTGTGCTTGCATCATGCAGTATAGAAAGGATTCTACTAGTTACACCTTTACAACTGAAAGATAATTAAAATATATGTTGATGTTTTTAAAACCTCTAATATGATTATGGAGTAAACTAATAAATGTAAGGATTTTAATTTTATTTAATGTATTTGATTTAATAATGAATTTAATATAGGCATTTTAATATATTTATTTAATGTACAAATTTAAATATCATTTTTAGTTTTGATTTTATTTGAACTTTTGTTTTTGGTTTTTACTCTGGCAAGGTCAAGACCAAAGTAACTTCTAATATGATTATGGAAAAAAACCCCAATAATATTTTTTTGTGTGTGTGAAGTATATAGGGTTTCCAATTCTGGCTTGGGAAATCCCTTGAGATTTGGTGCCACTAGCTGGGAGGGCAGAATTTGAGACAGAGAAGGGAGCTCAGTGAGGATAAGAACTGATCTCTGTGGTCTGGAGATGAATTATAATTTTAGGAGAACTCCTGAAGGATGGAAACCCCAGAAGCATAACACAAATTATTTTGTTCATGCTTTATTTCATCTAATACAAATCTTGCAAGTCAAGTTGTCAAAATGCAACTAGTTTTTCAGTCTTATCTAACATAAGTCTACTAATTAATGGAGAAAGAAATCTTTAGACTTTACTGGTTATTGTTCTAGGTCAGAATGTCCTGACAAAAGCTATGTACCAAAAAAAGAGAGATAATGGATATGCCTAATCCTTGTGGGTGCTGGCATATTTATATTTTAGCATGCTCTGTAGACCCAAAGCAGCAAGAATGCTTCCGTGTGCTATATATCTGAAGGTGGTGGTACACACAGTTGTTAACATCAGTGATTAATCAAAACTTGAATGTTAGCGTTCCATCAAAAAGCACTGTGACTGAAATTATATAAAACTTTCTGTGGTATCTGATCCAAGGTAATTCTTGTACATGTGCACTTGATGCTACATTCTATATTCCAAGCCACTGACCCTAGATAGAAGTTTTACTGTCACATTCAGCACCAACTTGAATTCATAAGCCTGCCTTTAGGAAGTTTTGGAAAATGTATTCTGGGGTATGGGTCACAAAAAGATAAGGAACAGCAAGAAAGCTGTGTAAAGAGAAAGCTTCCCAGGATTTCAGCCCATTAAACAAAAACTCATGAGGTTAAGCAGACTGATACATTGGGGAGCTTGCTGCTCCCATTCATTTGATGAAGGAATACCATAAATATCAGCTATACAAGTCAGAGAGACTGAGTTCAGTTGATTTCAGGATATCCTATTAAAAAGACATTTATTGGTTATGAGCCTAAACATATTTCTTCATTAATGAACATCATCCACTTTAATGATGCTAAAATCAGAATATTTGAAACTGTAACCTTTATTGACAGTAGATGAAAAACGTAGAACAGTAGCCCTGATCTAATGCTTATGTGTACTCATGCACACAAAGCATCCTGCAAGAATTTCTCCCCCATTGATTTTCAGAGCAATAGTTTTCTGTGCTTCCTGAAATCAGTTGGAAAGGTCTTGAAGCAAGAACTTCTGGACAATTTTTTTAAAAACATGGATCAGGTTGACTAATAAAAAAATTAGCATTCATTCCATATTATTTCAAAGTCAAGAGTTCCAAGAAGTTTGATAATGATTAACAGTTTAAATAGCAGACAAGTTTAACAGGTTGATCTAAACTTGTTCTTTAAATTACAAATATTTCTCTGTAGACTTGCTATATAACCAGGATGCAGGGAGACAACTAAAAATATTCTTAATTTTATTTAAATTAAAATGTAAAATATAACCTTTACAAGATTATTCTCTCATTCTTGCAAGGTTCACAGTTTAACAGTGAGGTTACATTAGATATTAGAAGGGTTTTTTTAACAAACCTGAAAAAAATGTCTAAAGGCAATTTCTAGTTTTAGCACTATTTGTCAATTTTATTTCAGATAACACAGTTTGTTATTAAAATGGACTCATAAGGTTGAAGTTCTTGGATTTAACATCTATTGCTTAGAAATTTATATTTTTTAAGATAAGAGAGAACCTCAAGGCCTTAATTAAAAGGAATAATAGCTCAGAAACTATATTAAAATGGCCTAATGTATGAATTTTAGCTTATCTGAGATTTGATTAATGAGAAAAAACACATACTCGGCAGTTAATACATTACTTTTAATTCAAGAACTCAGTTGTCCTAACTTATTACTTTGACACAAATGAGATTTTTTGCAAAAAAAATTAGAAAATCTTAATTTGAGACATAATTATTTCAACTGATTAATAAGCTTTAAATTAAATTCCCTGCATTTAATGAGCACATCATTGTGACAAGCTGTGAATTAATACTTCATGCAGTAATCCACACTCATTTTTATAGGTGATACAACCCTTTTCTAAACAAAAGACTTCTGTACCTTCACAATATGCATTGTCCTCTCGAAGGGCTCGGAAACCATCTCGGCAGCTACAGACAGCCCTATCATTGAGGTTCCTGCAGAATGAATTCTCCAAGCACTTGTGTCCTTCAGAGCAAAAGTTGTGGCCTAGAAATAAGAGACTGATGCTTTAAAAATAACTCCCCAAAATCTTAAAATTCAGCAGCCTATTAAGTCAACTGCAGTTCTCATTGATTTGAATAAACTGGGGTAGCCAGTTGCGCTGTCCAGTATACCCATTAATGTGTTTCTCAAGTCATACAATCCTCTAAAACAAATTAATATTAGGTATAATGCAACACTTTACCAACATACTTGGTGAATATATTATAGATTTCTTTTGCAAAAACAGTTTATACTCTCTTTATTTACAAGAAAATGCTTAGGGTCTGTGGTCATCAAAGCACTTGCACTGTTGTCCCAATCAGAACTAATTCAATATTTGTAAAGACCCGGTCCTAGAGGGAAACAAAATCTGTTTTGATGGTAACTGTGATGTCTTCATCACAATCATGTAGTTGCTAGGAGAAATATATACATTCCTTTTCTGCTTTTAATTAATAGTTGCAACTTTTATTAATCGCTTTTATAATGCTCAGAACTAAATAGTAACTTAACAGTTCAATTTAACATTCAGTCGACAGAGACTGTGACATAATGCATATAACATCTATAAATAATGCCATAAATTGTTGTAATTGTGTACATAGTTCTTAAAACGTTGGCTGGGAGCAAGGACAGTATATATGTGTGAAGTACAGTGACTCTGAATGACAGAAAGTTTCTTAAAATAAAGTTTGTTTCTATTCATTTTATTTAATAAGGTCTTGGTCCTGAACACTTCTTTTACATCCTAATTCTGCTGAAACCCAAGATCAATAGTTTCAGAGGTAGCACTCATGTTAGCGGGCCTTAGTTATCAAATGGGATTTTAACTGAATGTGGATCCCATGTGATCCTGGTGGTAGGACAGTTTGTAGAAACTGAGACAGGGAAACAGATTACACTTCAGTGAGAGAAGTGTCACATAGACTAACACAGCGATTTTTTCCTGAAATTTATTACTGGTTTAGGCTGTTTCAACCTACCAGGTTGCTGTTCCTCAGATCCATTTACAGAAACTTTTCTATGGTCCCGATCAGACAGGTTTTTAGATCTGCGCCAGGCACTCGTGCCTGGCAGATTTAAAGGTCATGACCAGACAGCAACATCTGGAAAATGTGCCTGTTCCATAAGCATCCCGTTTTGTCGTGCTTTGGAGCCATACTTAAAAGATACTAGTTAAAATCTGGAGTTTTTGCTTCCCGACCGGCCAATTGCGGACTTCCCCCCATCTGATCATTCCAGTGTGCAATTCTGCCATTGGGATGGTCTGACATCAGACCATCCCGAGCAGGTGTCATTAAAAAAAATTCTTAGCAATATGCGCATAAACATGTAAACGCGCGACAGCCACAGAACTCCACTCAAACGTTTTGGACAATTTCATGTTTCTAAATGGACCATGAATTTTATGAACTGCATTAATTAAAAAGGTACCTAGAGAGAGTTACCACTGGCAGTGCTTTAATCATTTAACTGCATGCATGCACGAAAAAGCAAGTACACGTTGAGACGCGGATATGCATGCACAGATTTAAAAAAACCCGACCGTGCAGCTCTTTCAGATGGATGCCATCTAGACAATCCACCGCGGAGTACGCATGCGGTAAGGGGAGCTGTCTGGTCGTGCAATTCCGGATAAAAAAGATAGGGATCAAATTAGAGTCGGGCCAATTGCAGTATTAGCTGCCCGTCTGAACGCACCCTGTGTACACTTAGCTTAGTATTAATAGGATCCAAGCAGACAGAATATTTGGATTGCATATCCAAGATTCTAGTTTTGACCTGCCATAAACTTCTATACTATGGATGAATTCTAAACAGTTACCACTGTAATCTCCCATGTTATGCTTGTCACTTTACAATTCATACCATCTGTAACATTTCTTCAAGTGGTGAGAACACTACCGTTCCTTGCATCCCTAGATTTTTACTATGTTCAGATATGTTAGAATTGTCTTCACCACTTGGCAGATGTAATGCCCATTGGCTACATGAGCCCAGAAATGAGATTACATTTGATAAATGAATGTCTGCATTTAGTTGGTTTCCAAGACTAATCTATATCATAGAGAAGTTGTGAAAATAATTCTAATTTATTTGCAAAATGATATGTCTGTGAAAAACACAAATGAGGAGTAAGAATAAATGTGTTTCCCACTGCCACCTTATCAATTACATTTTTATTCCATTGCATCACTACAGAGCTCTGGGTGGCAAATATGTCTCTTCCTTCCTTCATTTCATCCTCACAAAAAACCTAAGCATTATCTTAGGCTGAAAATGACCAGCCTAAGGAATCATACAATCTGCTTTTTGACTGAGTGAGGATTTGAACCTGGACATCTTCAGTCCCAATCTGGCACTAGCTTGTACACAATACTGTCTTTATCTTCCTTTTGTAGCCTCAGTGGACAATTGTTCTGGGAGAACCTGTGGGCAAGATAAAAATAGCAGTTTGGCACCTGACTTTTCAGAAGTCAATGTTCCCCTCATTCAGTTACATTTCTGCAGCAGTGGCAATTACGAGAGAGACTGCAGAGTTACTCCAGTCTAAGCCAATTAATTTCATTGGGCTTAGACCAGAGTAACTCTCATAGGATTATGCTGAGAAATGATTAAATTAAAATTTAGCTTTTGAGGCAAGATTACCCTCTTTAAGTATCTTTAAGGATCACTCATTTTTCTTCATGTGTACACCAGCTTTCTTTGAAAACTATGGCTTATCTGTCCGGTTATGGATAAAAGTAGTTGGTCTCATGTATGCAAGATTACAAAGGGTATTCTGATTCTTCATCACAAAGAAGACAAAGTTAAAGACAAAGTACTAGCCTTAGGCTCAGAGGCTTTTTATCACGAGTGCCTGGCGCAGATCTAAAAACCTGTCTGATCGGGACCATAGAAAAGTTTCTGTAAATGGATCTGAGGAACAGCAACCTGGTAGGTTGAAACAGCCTAAACCAGTAATAAATTTCAGGAAAAAATCGCTGTGTTAGTCTATGTGACACTTCTCTCACTGAAGTGTAATCTGTTTCCCTGTCTCAGTTTCTACAAACTGTCCTACCACCAGGATCACATGGGATCCACATTCAGTTAAAATCCCATTTGATAACTAAGGCCCGCTAACATGAGTGCTACCTCTGAAACTATTGATCTTGGGTTTCAGCAGAATTAGGATGTAAAAGAAGTGTTCAGGACCAAGACCTTATTAAATAAAATGAATAGAAACAAACTTTATTTTAAGAAACTTTCTGTCATTCAGAAAGGTTACATGTTTCTATTTATCAATATATTCCCTTTGGCTGTAAGGCAGTATAAAAGAACAAGTATGGATGATTGTGTACTGATTTAGGCTTTCAAAAACTAGATCCATGGATAGCTTGTGACAGACAAATGTAAACTGACCCAAACAGAGACATGAGTGTTCTGAAAACAAGCATGAAAGTAGCCACTTACACTTCCTATGACTGTATGGTCTTATGACTAATCAAGAAGTCCATCAGTGGCTATTAGCCACAAGGTATAGGTTAAGACGCTGTGAAAGGGCGGTAGTTCAGCAGTTCGAGACCCGAGTGTGCCGCATGACGGAGTGAGCTCCCGTCTCTAGTTCCAGCTCCTGCCAACCTAGCAGTTCGAAAGCAAGAAATTGCAAGTAGATAAATAGGTACCACTTCAGTGGGAAGGTAACAGCGTTCCGTGCACCTTGGTGTTTAGTCATGCTGGCCACATGACCACGGAAACGTCTTCGGACAGCGCTGGCTCTTCGGCTTTGAAACGGAGATGAGCACCGCAACCCTAGAGTCGGACTCAACTGGCTTTCGAGCAAGGGAAACCTTTACCTTTACCTTTACTATAGATAGGGGCTCTGGGGCAAATGGTGCTCTGTCTTCTTGGTGCTTGGGGGGGGGGGTCAACAGTGGGAGGGCTTCTAATGTCCTGGCCCCACTGGTGGACCTCCTGGTGGCACTGGTATTTCTGGCCACTGTGTGATACAGAGAGTTGGGCTGGATGGGCCTTTGGCCTGATCCAACATTGGCGTCTCTTATGTTCTTATGTTTAAGAAAAAATCATAATAAACTTTTCTTACAGCCATTTAAATAGTTTACGTTCATGTAATTAAATATCATTTTTAGTTAACTTGACAGAAATAAGATCTTTCACTTTTAATTTTTTTTTCTCCCAATCATCCTTTTTATGTCAGTTATTACATACTTTGTTCCTGGATACCAGGAACTGAACATGGTTTTATTTTTTTAAGGAGCACAGTTATATGGCAAAATTCAAGAGACTGTTTGTTTCATGTCTGAACTCAGTTTAACATGGTATATCTATTGGGGGAAAACAATCAAACCTTTTTTTAATGCAACTGTTCACAGTTTGGAAGGAACCAATAGTTCCTTGGATGAAAACAGAGATGAAAACCCCTGACAATATCTTTACCCTTGCATTGCAAATTAGGGCACACACCATCTGTTCAGCCTGCATGATAAATGTATGAGTATAATTTTATGTATTTTTAAAAAGAAAAATCTCTACACAAAATAAGATTTACAGTGGGAATGTAATGGAATGTTAGCAAACCAAAGAAAAAGCAGTCAAAGAAACGGTGAGATACAGAATTGACACCCATCCCAGGCTTAAAGGTACACACAGGATAATCTATGTTCATAGTCTATCAGAAATTGTAAGGAAGATGACGATGCAGAATCATAGAATCAGAGAGTTGGAAGCGGCCATACAGGCCATCTAGTAAAACCCCCTGCTCAATGCAGGATTAGCCTACAGTGTCTGTCCAGCCGCTGCTTAAAGACTGCCAGTGAGAGGGAGCTCACCACCTCCCTAGGCAGCTGATTCCACTGTTGCACAACTCTTACTGTAAAAAAGTTTTTCCTAATTTAGCTAGTTTGGTGTAGTGCCAGTTTGGTGTAGTGGTTAAGTGAGCGGACTCTAATCTGGGAGAACTGGGTTTGATTCCCCACTCCTCCACTTGGACCTGCTGGGTGACC